TACGTCGTTTTTATTGTTGCAACGGGTTGCCGATATCCTGGTTATCTTCGTTTGGAATTCCGGAGAATTTTGAGCAGCCAGAAAGTTGAAGTGAGTCCCTTCGTCTTCGTCTTCGACACATGTACTCAAATTTGTCTTTGTGAAGGGCCATATTATTTCTTTCAGACCGATCAATGAAATTTTGCAGATCTTTTTGAAGAAGCTTGACGTCATGATCTGATTTGATAGCAATGGATATGCGATCGTCATCAGCAAAACATCGAATTGTATAGAGTGCATGATACAATGTTCGATATCATTGATAAAAATCAAGAAAAAGGTCGGCCCCAAAACCGTACCTTGTGGAATTCCGCTGATTATCAATGCAAGGATGAACAGATCTGTTTCCGGTCTGAAAGGAAAGATTCTATCCACTTTATGATTTTAGGATGAATTTCATAGAGTTGGAGCTTTCTCAGTAGAAGTTTGTGGTCAAGTTTATCGAAAGCCTTGGCATAATCGAGATATATTGAATCAAAATCTAAATTGTTGGTTAGAGAATCCAAAACGTCATCAAAATGATGGAAAAGTTGAGTAAGGCACCTCCGGCCAGATTTAAATCCGTGCTGCTTACTACATAATATGAGGTTATTGATCTCCAAATAGTTTACCAGCTTTTTTTCCTTATCATGCCCTCTCGTATACTTTAAGTTTAACCACATGAGAGGTGAGTGATATAAGTCGGTAGTTAGTTGGTTTGGCTTATAGTTGGTTTGGTTTATTCATTTTTCGAGGGTGTCTATCCTTATAGCTAGACAATTACCATTGCTGAAATTACATGTATACTGTTCGAAACATTTTTACTAAATGTTAAAAAAGTTAATTGGTTTGGCTCGACTATCCTTCTTGTGGAGAGGAAATACGTGTGAGAACTTATAGAAGCTAGGGACCTCCCCAGTAACTAAAGAGCGGGACCAATTAGGATGAACATTGGTTCTGCTACTGCTTGATGACTAATATAAGTAACAACTGTTTAATTAAGTAGTAATTTAATTTAAATTTTGAGGTACAAAGAAACCAGAACAAAAACAGCATGCAACCTTCTTATGAAGATACCTAAGTTCTCTAAATTGAAGGCAACTAGCAGGCGGTTCAGCAACTATGCACCTGAATCATGGAATTCTCTCCCTCTTAATGTCCGTAACATCGAGAATATTGTCTCTTTTAAGGGTAAGTTAAAGAACTATTTGTATGATCAGCTATAGCCTGGTTGAGCTATTTTTTGTGGCTTCTAGTCTTTTTTGTGTTATTTTTTGTTTTCCGAGTATCCACTTCTTGTTTTTCTGGTTTTTATCGGTGTGTCAATAAAATCAATTATGTAATATGTATACTTTAACCATTTTTCTGCGACAGTTAATCTGATATTATCTCTTTAACATTATTTAGTATTTTTTGATTTATGAGACCCGTGTTTTGTTTTTAACTTTCTGCTCCGAGGAGGAGAGAAAGTTATTTGAGGAGAGCCGCTCAGACATGGGCACCGTATTGTATAAATTATTTAGTTATCTTTATACAATATCTTTGTCGCATAGTAGCGGGGTAGTAAATACAGTGTTTCGTTTCGTTTCGGTATGAATAACTGGGCGGCGCTCAGCCTGTCATTCCGCCAAATCTCTATGTTTACGTACAATAGAACATAATAGCCTGGGGTCCCCAGGTAAGGTATGAACGAAGGTAGATAAATTTAAAATGGTGACATCCTCTGCATCAGGCAGAGGTCGAACTCGAGTGTTATCGGGATTACTTCTGTAGTAGTTGTACAGCTATTAGTCCCATTACCTTAGTATTGCTGTACAACTATAAAATATACTACAGATTTTCAGAATGCTTGAACAGTTATCTAACTTCGTTAGCGAGCGACCGATTTCGTTCTCGGTATCATTTTGCGTTTGAGAACGGTCATTTAAATAAATATCATTGCCTCTTGTTTCGGTCTACTTAACCCAATTATGGGTTTTGGTCAAATTGTCTAACACTAATTAAATAACAAACAGAATGGTACTTTTATAAATCAGGGAAAACATGTCCAGAATATTTTAACTATGTTGTTGCAAGTAATTTGCTTTTATAAGAATTGGTTAAATTTCTGAACTCTCAGTCTCAGTTCCTAAGAATGACCCCTTGGAATTAGTTGCAACGCATTGATTGGCTGTTCACTACCGGAAGCAATATATGGACCAAGTTAACATAAATTGACCTTGTCTAAACTTCTAAAGAACACGAAGCCTCGTGACGTAACTGGTACAACTCAAGTAAAACTACAAGGATATATAATTATAAATGTGACTACAAAACTTCAGATGTAACATTTGACCAAAACCCATAACCATGGGTAGCCGTAGAGTGGACCGCTGCCAGTGTCTCCCTCTCCCAAACAAAAGGAAATGATATTAACTTGAATAACCGTCCGCAAATTCAAATTGATACCGAGAATGAAATCGGTCTTATAATTATATCTATGACATGCTGTAAAAATCTCTTTGGGTTGCTTTCGGGTCGATACCTAGTATCTCGGGATAAGGGTGCAGTAATTAGTCTCCAATTAGCTGTTGTTTATTGAATCTTTATTGCCGAGTACAGCTGCCTCGGGTAGTTCTTCTTAATTTATTACTGTTGTAAATGAATGGGAAAAGCGAGCGACCGATTTCATTCCCCCTCCCTCCCTCCCTCCCTCCCTCCCTCCCTCCCTCCCTCCCTCCCTCCCTCCCTCCCTCCCTCCCTCCCTCCCTCCCTCCCTCCCTCCCTCCCTCCCTCCCTCCCTCCCTCCCTCCCTCCCTCCCTCCCTCCCTCCCTCCCTCCCTCCCTCCCTCCCTCCCTCCCTCCCTCCCTCCCTCCCTCCCTCCCTCCCTCCCTCCCTCCCTCCCTCCCTCCCTCCCTCCCTCCCTCCCTCCCTCCCTCCCTCCCTCCCTCCCTCCCTCCCTCCCTCCCTCCCTCCCTCCCTCCCTCCCTCCCTCCCTCCCTCCCTCCCTATTTACAAGCTTCGATGATGGCGGTGAGCTCTGTTTGATAAACAGTGCAATAAACAGGAAGCTTGAATGATCTTTCCTCTAGGGTAGTGTTGTTGTTGTCAGTGATGATGTAAGTGAAACCAGCCCCGCTACCAGAGTCTGTGCGTGACCCCTCTGTGTAGCTGGTGATGGTTTCACTGGGGATGTTGTCGATGGTGTTTTGAAGTGAACCTCTATATTCAATGTTGTCAGCTCCAGGAGTGGTGACTGTGAAATGTCGTTCGAGCATCATGGTTGGTATTGATAGGTCTCTCTCTTTGCACTTACGTACCAGTTACCTCGGGCGCGTTACTTCAAAGAAGTAACATTGAACATCCGTCAAGAATTTAATTCGAATAATACGTATAGTGCGAATTTCACAGCATTGTTTACTGGGCGGCGCTCAGCCTGTCATTCCGCCAAATCTTCCATTTGATTATGAATATGAACATAAAATATATAATAGCCTGGGGTCCCCAGGTAAAGCATTGTGACTGACGTTAAAGTTAAACTTTAAAGTATGACTTTATGTGCGAAACTAAAAATTTGCGGAATTTGTGGCTAAAATTATAGTACCTGCATGTAATGAGGACACCAGGCTATAATGTTCATAATAGAGATTCGGCGGAATGACAGGCTGAGCGCTTCACCTAACCGGGTGCTTTCGCGCCACTACGGGTGCGCTTGTTTCACAAGTTGAAGTAAAGAGGCGCTACTGCAAGCGCAAGGGCTCTGGATAGAGCAAGCTGAGCGCCGCCCAGTAAACAGAATCGATCATCCATCATCGCCTTTCATCATTGAAGTTTCAATTTTAGCAAGCAGCTTTCGAGTAGTAGTACAAACCTACCTATTTAAATAATTAACAACAGAGTTGCTCTGTAAAAAAGGAATTCTAAAATATACTATCTCTTTCACTTTCAGTTCACAAGGATAAGCATGCAATGTGAATTATTGTAGTCAGTTGTATTATTCATGAAAACGCTGCTTTAGAATAAATTGTTGGAGAAAGTTTTGACCACTAGAATTAGCATGCAAGCATTGGAAATCGTGAAAGTTCTTATCCACCATTCAGAGGATCGGACAAAACATGTAGTGACCGCAGCTGTTAAACATGATATTACTGCTCGACAAAGAGAAAGTAAAGTTTGATAGCTAACTAGCTAAGCCGCATCTTGCTGTAACGGGGCGGGAGCACGGCTATTGACTGTTCGTTCTGGCATGCACGGAGAGAGCTTGACCAAGAATCAGTTTCACTTTAGCATGCATTGCTGAGATGAGCTCTTATAAAACCTACCTCTGCACTGCTGTCTTATTCAGTTCTTTTTTAGCAGAGGTGGAATTACCTGGCTTGGTATCGACTATCCTTCTATTCGTTTTTTAATTAATTCGTCAAGTGTCAACTTTTAATGTTAACTCGCCAGCAGTTTCTATCGATTGTTGTATTAATTCTTAGTATCTTTTCATTTTCTACTGAAACACATTAAACCCAGCCATCATCGCCCAATCAGAGTCACATTTTTCAAGTTTGGCCTAAATGTTTATTTGATTGGAGTTTTGGACCTCTGAACTAAAATTTATAATTCTGCTGGTGTACGTACTGTACAGTGGACCAAATCGTATTAATTTTGGGTAACACGACTTTAGTCCGATCTCAATGGACGCTTTCGTCGCGATATTAGTAAGCAAAGGATCACGTCCGCATCGGGACAGTGAAGTTGAACGCAACGTCACAAGATAAATACAAATGTGATCCGAAATTTGGACAACAGTCGCCACTTAGGACTCTTGTACGAAAACCCTAATTTCGGATTCAGACAAGAGTCGCTGTGATCGGACATAAGTCGCCCAATCTTTATTTTAGAATAACTTAGTATGTGCAGTGTGAACATGGCCTAATCGTTAGGATGATCTGTTATTCTTAGTGGTAATTATAAATAATACATAATCGCTCAAGTTAAGATTAATAATCACAACTTTATTTTAGCAAAGTTTTCCCCAAATTTTCATCATGAAGCTGTTAATTTTACTCGCCCTCTTCGGTATGCTCGCTGTTATAAACTGTCAAGGTAAGGATTCAAACATCTTCTTTTTGATATATAAAATAAAAAAGTTTTGAGATATTATAGTCAAGAAATTACAAATTGTAGAATTTATTTATTAATTTAAACATTGAACCTTAAGTATTTTATTGCTGTTTGGCCTGGTAAAAAATTGTATGACTTAAAACAACACAGATGATGGAGTTGTCGTAGAAGGTGAAGATGTAGAAGGTGATGAAGTAGAAGGTGATGAAGTAGAAGGTGATGAAGAAGAAGGTGATGAAGAAGAAGGTGACGACGATAGTGGTGCCACATCAATGCAGATGGCCCTTCTTGCACTTGTGCCCATCGCTGCCCAACTTTTCTAGAGTACCTTCACTGATCCCGATTAAGTTTTACGACGTTTTAACGTCTCAAACTATGGTTAAGATTTAGGGACGTGATTTTGTTCATGTTTTTGGTTAATTGTTTCATTTTTCGTAGCTCCTATTTGATAGTGCACCAGTTCTTATTGTTTTGATTCGGATTTTAATGTTTGCGCTAATAGCTGTCAGCTTTAGATTTAAAAATTTGTTGTTTAATTTGTGATTTCTCGTTTTGAATTAGAGAGCTAGTTATTGATCACCAAAATTTGGGGGTGCACGATAAAAATAAACTTGCTCGGATTTTAAAAATTTTTGTACCACTGTTTTCTAGAGACTGTGAGAATTTTCACAATACCAAATTTGTCATACCTTTTTGGAAAGATCAGTGAGTTTCGCCTAGGTGCCATATTAGATTGTGCGCGGCTTTTGGAGCAAAAGTAGCTGTAAGTGTAAAAGTCGCGTAATTTGACCAAATTCGTCCAAATTTGACCATTTTTGTCGTATTATTCGGATTTATCTTCAGTTCCTTAAATGAGATCATTCTGGAAATTGGCGACGACCTTCCAATAGGGCTTTCACAACTGTCCAAAAAATTTGGTGGATATCGGAGTTGATATAGTGATCAAAATGGGGCAAAATACGCTGCTTTTAGCTGTAACATAATGTCTGATGGTTGGATATGCTTTACATTTTTCGGACACTTTACTTGTAAGTCTATGAGTAAGCTTACCAATTTTTGTTACAATTGGAGGTCGGGAAGGATACTCAATATCTATTTGTTTGAAGAAAATTGTGCTGGCCGAAATTAGCGCTAAAAAACCATCCTACAGTCGGCACGCGCGGCTCACTGTCGATGGCGCACTACCTACCAAAATATCGAAGCTAAGGAAAAAATCGATCATTTATCTGGGGAATGCTGAAGAGCACTGTCTAGATGAATTTAATAAGGATCAAGTGTATACTATCAAGTGTATACTGTCAAAGTTAAACAATTTTTAGAAATACCTTATCGGACTTTATTTAAACGGACATAAATTGGACGCTGAAAGTTTTAGCGTTAATTTTATTAATGTCCGTTCAAATAAAGTCCGGCAAGATAGTAAAATGAAATATATTAAATAAATGCATGCGATTGCGAGCGTTCATTTTATAATGTCCGTTGAAAATTATGTTCACGCAATGTTCGGTCAAACATCAAATAACGTCCGATAACGTATGAAATGAAATAATGTGCTTATGCCTTATAGTTAGTTATATTGTATATCCTGCCCATGATATGGTTTAGCAGCCGGCACAAGTGCCAGCTGCTAACCATGCCAGAGCGGCTCTAAAGAGTGAGTGAAAAGGACTTATAGCATGAAAGTGAAAACATGCCAGTGTCGGAAATAATTTAAATTATACTCTAATGTTTATTTCTAAGATCTTGTCCTCAGTCACAACAAATAATTCCACTTTTTCGATATAATAGCGTCTATTCAAATTGTCTTTTGCTTAATGCTGTTTATTGTTTAATGCATGATTCTTCTCCGATACGAGCAGATGGTGTCGATCCGGCTTGCTCTTCAATGTTCAAGTTCAGGTGACCGATCCGGAAAAATGAAAACAGTTTTGTGATCATGATGCTGACTCGTCTTCAGCTCAGTTTCAGGTCCTTCGCAGCGCTCGATTTCAGTAATATTTCATGAATATTATTTGAATGCGTTTACAATATTTTGACAGGTCTCAGCTTGTACATTGTACAATTTCCTGAACGACAGATTTCGCAGTGGTCTGTACTGAACAGATTCCAACTTGTATTACTATTGTATCACGTTGTGACCCTCATTGTCATTTCATTTAGGCCTAGGGGTCGTTCACATATTACTCAGTTTTATATTACACATAGCTATTGTGTCAAAATTACACTATGCACTAGTTTAATCATTCGGAAACCCCCTCAGCTGATTTAGATTACGTAATTATATGTGAACGACCCCTTAGCTTATAGTTATAGTGAATCGGAGCGAAAGCCACGCGATACAGCCGCGCTTGACCATTGTTAATGGTCTGGCCCGGCTGCCGGCGCGCGGTACTTCGTAGCACTTGCCATCGGCATCGGGCCATTTTAACATTTCGAGAAGAAAGCGGCGCGCGCTACTTCGGCCTACAACTACAAGTACAACCAACAACGTTAGGCAAGTAACCACTTACCTTCTTCATTCTGATCTTATGACTGTAACACGTTAATATAACCCTCTCAATGGAATTTACCTGGGGACCTCAGGCTATCATGTTCATAATATAAAGATTAGGCGGAATGACAGGCTGAGCGCGGCCCAGTAAAATTGAAAATGGAATAAACATTAAACATAGCATTATTCGGTTCATGCCTTGGTTGTAGCATCGCTATACTTATATATATATATATAGGCCCGATGTAATTGCTATGGCCAGTTTACTGGTCAACTGGTGTTTCGGAGTCCCTTATTTTGTTTACACTCGGTCACTTGTAGTTGTCAAGGTTACCTGAGGACCCCAGGCTATTATGTTCATTAACATATGAATATAGATTTGGCGGAATGACAGGCTGAGCGCGGCCCAGTAATTGTCAAGGCTATAAGGGCGCTAGGCATGTATTAACGGGCGATACTCGTAAAATATTTGTTCCAAAGACCACGACCGTCGACGAGTCCAACTCGGCGCGCGTCCTCAGTCCTGGTAGGTTATAAACCTACAAGGCATGTACAGGTCATTCGGCGAATTTTCTTTGAGATAAAATGATGTATTTGTGTAATTCGATTTGAAAGTTTATTAATTTAAAAATTCGGCCCAAAGGCAAAATAAAACTTTTTGAGACTGGATATGAAATAAATAAATTCAAAATCTACGTTGTCCCAAATTGTGCTCCGGATGAAAACCGGATGTCGATATCTATTTTACTTTTGGAGATAGACCCTAACCGGTACTGGTAGGGTTTCCTGGGCTAGCTGAAAAAGCTTTGATACGCCGGAAATAAAAAGGCAAATTCGATTGTTCGGGGTTAGGGTTGCACGAGTCGCACGATTGAACAGAGGAGATGGAAGGGGAATGAGCTTAGGAAGGTTGCAGACTAACCCTGGTTCATCCCATCAGAATTGTCGCGCGGGTCTGATGTTATACTTATTCATTGATACATGTTTCGTATCCAAATATCAGAGATATTATGGATTTTTCCGCCTTCGGCGGCGCGCGCTTCGCGCGCGAAAAGTGGCATGCAACGTATGTCAACTTATTCATATTGTTATGCGTCATTTTAGAGCCGCGCCGATTTATGTGTGAATGGCGAAGAACCCACAGTATATAGCGTTACTGGGCCGCGCTCAGCCTGTCATTCCGCGGAATTATGTTAATGAACATAATAGCCTGAGGTCCCCAGGTAATATATAGCGGTGATAATCATAAACATCTAGGATTATTAGGAGGATTAGGGTGATCGACGGATAAAACTAAACTGAGGTAACATTGGTGATTGGAGGCAAGACACAAGAAAACATTGAAATGATGTGTAAATCATTCGTGTTAATAAACATTCTCGCTTACTTGAATTTAGTTCTGAATTATCAAATTATCTATTGATTTAAGTTTAGACTTTGATAAGCATTCCAATTAAATCGCTAATAGTAATAATACAACTGAAACACAAGAGATCATATATTTTCTATAAATATTATAACAGGTCACCAAGAAAACTAAACAATGTTATACATCACAATATCGGATCTACTGGTCGTAAAATCTGCTCAATATTAATTATTCAACTATGTTACTTAATTTCAAATGTGATAATAACGAATGAATTATGTGCTACTATATTCGATTAATAAGTGTATTATACAACATGTTCTAGACCATATGACAGATCAACAAGTTTTAATAAGAGTTCTTTACATCAGTTTAAATGTAAAATCGTAAGTGACGAAAAATTCGGTGCAAATGAATTTGTAAGACTAAGTCTTATATCGCCGATTAAGCTATCATACAATGTGCATACTGTATAGTTTTTAAAAGTTGATCGAGTTCCTCAACCAGCCCAAGTGAGTATAATATTTTATCTGAATAGTTTAAATTGAAGTCAAGCAATGATGGAAGAAGACAGGTGCAATAATAAAGAGTCAGAATAATTGGAACGTTATACTTTTATCAAAAGATTAATAGCAACTAATAGTCCAAAACAAAGGCAACAACAAAACTTCAAAAGGAAAACTCAAAATTAACCGGCTATAACGTATTCGGTAACCACGGTAACGATGGTTACCGTGGTAACGTTCCATGGTACCGCCAGGTTGTGAACCTGACAGTTATGCGTCAGTAGAGTTTGTGGAGTTAGCGGCTCTGTTCTCAATATTACTCCTGATCTGCTCCGGAGTTTTCCGCTCCACACAAAAGTGGGTGATCATGTCGCCCTTACCCTTTACTCGGACTTTGCCCCGCCTGGGTAGCTTGAAGTGGTCGATGAGGAAGGGAACGCAGGCGGCAGGTAGCTGGATTCTTCCTACTACTCCAGTTGACATCATCCTGCTGGCAAGGTTAACTGTGTCTCCCCAAATGTCGTACAACACCTGCAAAGTAAAAGTGAAACACCTTGTGAAGTGAAAGTGAAACACCTTGTGAAGTGAAAGTGAAACATCTTGTGAAGTGAAAGTGAAACATCTTGTGAAGTCAAACTTTTAAAATACTTTACATGATACGTGGCACATGTTTGTCTTGTAGGACATTACAAATTTTGTTGGTGTGATTAAACCAATCTCAATAATCTGCTCCGTTGAGCAGTCGATAAAGTGTTTTTACCTTGTTTTGTCCGATGATTCCGTCTGTGACAGGTCCATAGTTGAACCCTATCTTCATCGTAAAGTTAGTACCAAATGTGTAACTGTTAAACTGTTTGATAGTTTCAAGTATTTTGAAACAGAATTCCATCAAGTTCACTATGTGCTCGTGGTTACCCTGAAACAGTTACCATGGTGACGACACTTTATTGTACCTTATCTATCACAGTGCAAAATGGTGTGTCCGATAATGTGACAGAAGTTACGATCTTTATTAAGAAGATAAGAAAATAGGGTCATGGACGTCAAAATACATATTGACGAAAGCTACGAAAAACGGGAAATACAGTAAAATATAGCCTGGTGAGTGGTGACCATGGTTACCGGTTAGCATTGTAACTGGTTACTGGTAAGCATGGTAACTGGTTACTGGTAAGCATGGTAACTGGTTACTAACCAGTGATTAGCATGGTTACACCAACCTGTCTTGTTTGTTCCTCAGTAACGGGGTCAAGTCCAGAAGCTGCCATATAACAGGGGCCCACAGTCTTTATCTTCTGAATGGCCGCCCACCTGACATCGCTCCTCCGCGTAGTGTTGTCCACACTCATCAGCAGGTCGTCTATATCTCTCACTATCTCGTTCAACACTCGGATACAGCCCATTCCTCCTTCAAACTTCTCTTCGTAGAAATCCCAGAAGTTGGTGACTGAAGCGAATATTACCCCCACATGATCGTACGAGTGCGAATATCTGAAGAGTAGTTTTTAGTTTTTCTATTATATTACGGTTAAGTTTTGGATCGGTATTGGTATTAAACAATATATTGGTATTAAAGTTGTACAAACTGAGGAATGAGGATGACTATATTCTTCAATGGCTCAAAATTCAAACCCTAAATTTTTCGATTAATGCCGAATGGCGCAAACCTCCGCCCCTCATCTTAGAGTCTGAAATTAAAGGGTAAATAAAAACCTGAGTTCGGAAAGGAACTGGTCGGACACGTGTTTAGGGATGATAGTGTTGAAAAGTTGAGTGGTCACTTTCTCCTCCTCCTTCATTACAGACAACTCCGTGCTGCACTCTTGCAGGGTTCCAAATCTCAGGGAGGTCTTTACAGACTTTACCCTGAATATTAGGATGCGTGGTGAGCAGGCAGTATCGTGTACAAATCTTGTTTTGAGTATATATGTACGATGTACTGCGAGGAAATAAAAGATTGCAAAGCAGTATAGGTTACATTAATGTTTTATTTTATTCGTTGTATTTCTGGTTTAGTTTAAATTTCAACAAAAGTTTATACAGATTTTAAAGTTTTCTGTGTTTCAGTTATCACTTACCATAGCAACACGAGTACAGTGATGAAGAGACATGTAACTGCTACGATTGCAAATTCTTTTGTGTCGTTCGGAGAATCTGAAATAGAACAAAGTTTAGCACATTTATAATAGTGAGATTTAAACAGCAAATTTCCGAATACCCATGTCCTTACTTTCTCATATAACTTCCTCTCCTCAGACAGCTGACATATTGAGGTTTTACTGTAAAACCTAATACTCCACTAGCTAGATATTTTGTTGGACCGATGGGAATATCGGGTATCAAATTCAGATAACTGAATTTCATGAGTATATACGTTATGTACGTTGTTTGCGAGACAAGGATTTTTTGGCTTTTAGTCTGGATATTGTACTTGTAACTTCGTGTTAGCTGGCTTTTAGTTTGGATATTGTACTCGTAACTTCGTGTAAGCTGGCTTTTAGTTTGGATATTGTACTTGTAACTTCGTTTTATTTCTGAGCTTCTAGTGCTGTGTTTACAGATCTGCTAGCTGATATGCTGGAGAAGATTAATGAACATGACATAGAGGATTGGTTAGATAAGCTGACTTGGGTTGGGGCGATGGTCGGGGTTATATCGGTAGTGCTAAACGTGGTCACTGTTTGGTTAGTTCTTCCTTTTTTACTCATTGTGACCATTACTTGTTTAACATTTGAAGCTGTTCAAAATGGTATGCCATATGTGGACTGTGCAGGCTTGTGATGAAAGATGTAAACTAAGATGCACACATATATTAAGCTTGATGTGAATTAGCAGGGTGTTTCACTTTGACTTCACAGAGTGTTTCACTTTCACTTCACAGGGTTTTTAGTGGTATGCAGCCGAGAAAGTACCCTACATATGTACTGTACATCTGTATAGGCCTGGCTGACTCTGTTAACGGACTAAACGCTGTACTCACTCTACTTGTATACAAGACTCCCTATAAAAAGGTAATGACTAGAGGGAACTTCGAACTGATATCCTCCGACATAAGTTAGTTTCTGTTATAATGCTAGGAATTCAGGAGGGTTGCAAGGAAATTTACAGAACCGTTTGAAGCTAATTCACGTGACACGTGAAAATGAACTTTATTTCAAATCCAATATTCGGCATTATTTGATCAGTTTTTGAGAACATTTCAGACACTCTGTACGATTCTTGGTCCTATAACGATGACAGTGCGAATGACGTTGGACTATCTGACCATTCTCTCAGTAGGCCGACTAACTGCTATTATGTTCCCTTTTCAATACCGCACTGTATTCAGCTTCAGGAAGACTCTGCTCTATGTTATGATCTTCTTTGCTTTTAGCTTCACTCAATATGTGTTTGTTCCAGCCACTGGGGGACGGTTTGACCCGCTAGGTTCGTTATACTTCATCAACCATTTTTAACTTCACAACAGTTTCACTTTCTCTTTCTCTCAGAGTTCGGTTTCACTTTCACTTTCTTTTATGTTGCTAATTGCGGTTTACGTTTTTTCTCTCAGATTACGGATGGTGTGCTCCCCGAATAAACTGACCCATAGCTCTGCAATATTCGCCTATACCATTACATTGGACATGTTACCTCTCGTTCTCAATTCCGTTCTTTGCATCGTGTGCTTCATTACCTCCATGGTGCATCTCAGGTTAGTCCTGTTGTTGTGATGCGAGTGAGTCATATTTTGTGGAATCTGCCTGTAACATACTCAAAACTTGATAGCTACTCTATTAAGAAACGATATTTTTGTTTTAATCTCACAAAGAGTCGTTTTACAGACATTCAAGGTCACTGGTAACGGAGAACACAGAAAGAGATAAGTCTATAAAGATCCTGACGTACATGCTAGCATCTTTTGTAGTGTGCTACAGTTCCTGGGTGGTACTAGAACTTCTCGGCAGCTTGGGGGTTCTCGGAGTCAACGCCGGCATTTACATCGGTACTTATATTTTACTGTTTATCAACTCTGGATAGTTTTTATACGTGATGTGTTTCTGTAATATGTTCTAACAAATAGCTGTCTTTTATATGAAGCTATATATTTATAATTAATCATGATAATGATTACTACAACAGGTCCAGACGCAGAGCCTTCCTGCAGTACTAAACTGCTCTACAAACTCATGTTGACAGGGGTGTTCACTAACGGTATTCTTAACGCTCTGTTCTTACTGAGAGGTTCAGGGAAAATCAGACTTTTTAAACTATTGTCATCTATCATACCTTCCCAAACGACAGTGGAAGACACAGGAGGCTAAGTTCTCAATTGAGCAACGAGCTTACTGAGCCACGACGACGACGTTACTAAATATTGAGCTACGAGGTCATAGACAACTTGTTAACAGAGATTAGGTACCGGTTTACGACCTTTACGTTGTAAAATTATTTATTTGAATTGAATCGAATATGGTTAATGGTATACCTTGTGGTTTTGTTGGCGAGTTGTATAGCATTTATTTTGTTTCCTGCATTGTCCACTTGTTCTGTTTTATTTATTTTTTAATTTAGAGTCTAGGTAGTGGACCCTAGTTCAACATTCGTAGTTCTTTTGTCGAATCAAAGTACGTGCCGAACTACAGTCCAGGTTTTGAACTTCGGTACGTGTGCAACACCGAAGCTTGTTTATGGAAGTTCGTTTTATTAAATCTTCATATCTTGTGACAGTAAACCATACAAATTAAGTTAAGCGTTGATCAGATGACTTACTTACTCGAAGACGAGTGTTCACATCAATTCTGGACAAATCTGCTATTTCATGTCCATATTTTAAGCATATTATATATATATTACCAAACTGATGATTCAGTTAATGTTAGATGTAATATACAACATATCTGGAGAATTAGAACTACTTATAGTGGCATACATCTTGGATAAGGTGTTTAAACATAATTACATAATATGTAATAATTATAAAACCTGCCAAACCGAAAATAGCTTTGAAACACCTTTGGCGGACCCATACATAATCAGAGTTCCTGAAAACATACGCGCGCAAAATGCGCGCCAGAACTTGAGCACATATCATAAAAATGTCACAGCGCGTTACGCAAAATCCTTCAAATGATTTATTTCTTTTTTCTTTAAACAACTTCTGTTAAAAAGTGATTTCAGTAAGTGTAAAAAAAACAGCAACAAATTTGAAGAGATGTTTCCTGAAAACAATCTTAGTTACATAGACAAGTCTCAATTGTCACAGATGAACAGAGTAGTGACTTTGAGTGGTCACACAGGATAGAATCTAATTACTCATTAGGTGTGATGATCACACGGATAACCTGTAATTAATTTACAGTTTACATCCAACTTCCTACAGTGATCATGTATGTAACTTAGACAAACACCGTCTAGTTTGCCACAGTAAACCCAGTAAATGATCTGCATTATTTCATTATCATTTTAACTACACTGCGATACTATTGAAAATGATGATAAAACCCTACTTATAGAAACTTCTAAATAAGATAGTAGCACGTGCGTTTGGATCAGTTGTTTTGAAAAGTATGAGACATCAAGCGTTACTAACATATGTACATTTCAACACACGACACAGACCAATCACAACAAAGAAGAAAGAACGACGACCAATCAGATCGCAGAACTAAAACGGTATAAACCAATGAGATCGTAAGACCAAAACCATATTAACCAATAGTGGCACTGGTATACTTTACACAGGTAGGTGCTAGTTTAAAACTCTCAAAACACAATACAGATCTAAAAACCTAACTTAATCAAGTACCATTGAGTTATTTCGGTGTGTTTGTGTGTTGGTTTGTTTGTAACAGCTTACTTTCTGATAAATTGTAACATAAAAAAACAGGCCCGAACCTCCACACTATTTTGCCATGTTTACTGCACGTGTACTGCACATACACGCGTACAGTATACAGAAGCTGAGAAGCTGCAACCCTCTACCCACTATAACTCATACAAGAGAGGGTGGCAAGATAACCCCGTCACGGTAGAGTGCTGAAGCGTGTTATCAGTGCTGTGTTATCAGTGAGAAACACACTAACTACTAAACAACTGGGTTACTGGTCACTATTACCACCACCAATCATAGGACAGTGGTGTGGTAGTTAGTATTGCCACCAGCTTGAAGAGTAACACATACTGTAGTAGTAGTGTGTCTGGTGTTAGTTACAGATACTGCCAAGCAACATTTAAAACTACAGTCATTGGGGGAGCTCTACTATACAGTATATAATAGTGTATATTTGTTATTGTTATTATATGTGTGGAGATGCACTCAGTCCCATCATGACCTTCCTTTACTTTGAAATGTTTACTCAACAGCACGGAATAAGCAAATGGGTATTAATATTAATCTGTTTTTAGTTTTAAAGGTCAGGAAATCATTGTAAAAATACAAAATAAATGTAGTGGGAGTGAGACTTACTGTCAGATCCGAGGAGGAGATAAACAAGAGTAACAGCGGTAGTTGCAACCAGCAGACAAGTCTCTATAACCTGTAACATGGGGGGATGTTATTACCTATTTACCAGAGGTGAGCTGGCAAATAAACATGAGAATATGTTCTCATTATTTGACCTTAAGTTAGATCTGGGAGAACTCTGTTCAACACAGACACCAGAGCTGACACACTATAATATAGAGCTGACTTACTATATATTAACTATTATATAATACTATATATTAACTATTATATAATACTATATTAACTATTATACAAAGCAGGGTTTATACCACAAGTCTAGACAGTCTGAACTAGACCAGTAATTAAAGTCGGGCTATATAAAGGTTAATCTAACAGGGTATTTCAAGGTCCCCATTATATAGTGTGAGTTAAAGGTGTACACGTGTTCTTCTAGAATAATGCCAATGGGTGTGGGGATCGATGCTCATTTGACAAAAGTTGAGGAATAAATGGGTATTGTGTTCGTTTTCAAAACGATGCCCCTTATATAAGATGAGCTCCTCAATCTGTCAGTTTAAGTGCGTGGCTAAACAAAACGGCTTTATGTCTAAGTTAAGAAGTGTCCCAAGACCGACAAATTGAGCTGTCTGATAACTAGGTAACCAGTTTGTAACTTTGTAACGGTTATATTATATTAGAGTAACGGTATTATAGCGATACAGGAATCTAGGGTAGACATACCATGCATACCGGATAAAAATAAAAGTAATAAAACTAAAAGCCTTTTTCTTTAAAATTTCTACCTTCTAGCCAAATTGTTCGCAACATTAAACAACAAACCATATAATATAACTTTATATACTATATACGTTTTATCTTAATAACTAGTGGTGTTATTAAATTTTAATTTATAATTATTATAACATGTCTAAAAGTGACTCACCCAATCAAATCTGTGGTAGATAAGGAAGTGAGATAAGACCAGGATCACGGAGAGGACCACAAAGGTGGGACTGGGACTAGCAACTGTTTTAGTGTTTTCTGTCTCGCCCCACACCAAACCTGCGCAGTTTACTAGCATTAATAACCTATAATATACTAACAGTTCTGTGCAGTTCTAAGATTATATAATAATAATAAAAGATAAAAAGCCGCACATTCTATTAATAGTATTATATCCATTATCCCTCGTATCTAATATTAAACATCTTATCTCTGATTAGTCCCATAATAGAACACTTATAATTTCTATGGTCCCTATCTTTTCCCCTAATTGCACAATGATATACTGAATTCTACACAGTACCCTTGGTCCGGCCTTACTAAGAGCCCACAAAAGAAATATCAGGTTTCCGGCGATAATATTTAGATTAAAATATAAGAAAGTTAGTAAAATGTGCACCATGTGTGGGGTGACCAGGTGTTAGAAATATATTGTCACTAGTAACGTTAATTTAACAGTGGTCACGCGTTCTAGATTAATAATTTTATATTAAAGTTAGTCCTTATAAACTCTAAAGTTCTAATATAATAAAACATTTCCATACAACCCCCATGCCACACTCCTACCCCCCCCCCCCCCCCTACATAACAATAACCCCCCCCCCCCCCCCACACACCCCTACATAACAATAATAAATAAATAACATATTTGGTAAACTATTAAGCTGTACTTACCAATAGAGGTGAAAGTAGAGATCAGTAGAAATAGCGACGTCTGAAAAGAACAACAACATTACAATCATATGATTACTAACTGGGTGTGGCTCTTTGGCACAACACTCTCGTGTGCACCAAAACAATCAATTAGCTAATTAACCAATTAACAAATCACAAAACTCACAAATGCAGGTATTAGTGGGAAAGGAACTTGTTTGAGATTCTCCAGAAAACCCAGCTGTTTGACCCTTCTCCACCGAGCCAGCATTATCAACATTACCATCAGGATCACTGTGTTTGTTATTATCTCCACTACTAGCACTGGTACACTGAAATATGTACTGGAGTTTAGTTATTTTATTTAATTCACTAAACCTTTCTTACCGGAGTTTAGTTAATACATTGAATTTAAAACTAAATCTTTGTTAAGTTATTACAGCTTTACAGAATTTTAATTATTTAATTAAGTAAACTAAACCTTTATTACTGCACTGTGTCTGTAGTTAAGTTATTAAATAAACGTAATAACTGTAAAACCAGATATTTTGCGGGCATTCATTTTCACGGATTTAAAAAATATGATCATTTTCGCAGCACTTCCTTGGTTTAGATCAGCTCATAAGATTATTATAAATAAAAAATGAATGTAACAAATTGGCAGTACCTTCATTACAATATTTAAATGGTATAATGATTCATTGGTTTTCGTTCAAAATATGTGCACCTTGGTTGTAAGCTGTAATGATTGTTTTTATTTAACAAGATTTGTAGCCACGTTTGCGGAAGTAACTGTAAAATATAACTTGAATTAAGCTGTGTCCATTAGCACGATGTAGCTCACAATATAACAGGGTTTGTAAGGGAGCACTAATATTATCAGTTGGTTTAAGTTTCTAATGAGACTGTGAGATATGATCTGTAGGATACCAGTATTTCTTAAGAAAAGTAACTCTGTGTAATTATGGATATTTAATAATAAAGCGTAAGTACTAGTACCAAGCGTAAGTACTAAGCGAGGAACTAATATTATTGGTTAATTTATTAATGTGATTTTCTTGGTTGTCATCACACCAGGCAAACAATCCTCCCAAAAAACTGTGATTTAATATGAAAATCAACACATCTAGTTATCTATTCCACGTAAAAGCGTTCAACAAAGTAAAGATAGAGGTTTTAGGATTTAGGGTGTAGCTTTGTTAGGTGATGCGCGAATGAACTGTAATCCAGAACTGACTCCGCTCCAGTAACTAATGATCTCAATTATTGATAAAGTATGAGTTTTAAGTTGAATACTAACACTTGCACTAAAAATTCATCACACTTTTTCAATCTATTAGATTTATTACTGTCTTGTAGACTGCTCTAATTTAGGTCAACTATAAGTTTCGCAACTGATGATGCTCATGGGCACCATCAATTGCGAAACTTTTAATTGTATTGAATCGTATATTAAATCCCTTAAGTGATACTTTAGTGAAAGCCAGAACGTTCCTATGACGCAAGTTTGGAAAACATCTTCTTCCGGTACCCTCACCCTCCCCCAACCTCCCCCACCCTCCCCCACCCTCCCCCACCTCGCCCAACACTGCAATCTTTCTGTTCTCAATATTCAACTTGAAGGTCTACTATTCTACTATTTCATCAGCACACAATAAGCAATTAATACCAGTCCGCCATTATAATGAAGCGGCTGTCATGAATTAACGCAAGGAAAATTAACACAACTTGACATGTGTCAGTAGACGAGAGTAATTAAATGTGACAAGAGTAATATTATGAAGTACTTACTAAGGAATATTATGTAGATATTAAGTAAATTCTTAACCTACCTAATTCACTAATATAGTATAACTGCTGACAATTAAAATATGTGAGACCCACTCTTGAGTGAGGGTTGTTATCGTCTCTCCAAGTGCTCCAATGATTCCATCATAGCTGCTCTGATTATTATCAGACTATTTGAAGATATCAGCAATACGGAAATGAGGTGCGGACATAACGTCACACGTGCCACACAACGTCATACGTGCCACATAACGTCACACGTGCCACACGATGACGCCACACGTGCCACATAACGTCACACGTGCCACACAACGTCACACGTGCCACATAACGTCACACGTGCCACACGATGACGTCACACGTGCCACACGATAACGTCACACGTGCCACATAGCATCACACGTGCCACACAACGTCACACGTGCCACACAACGTCACACGTGCCACACGATGACGTCACACGTGTCACATGACGTCACACATGCCATATGACGTCACACTTGCCACTTGATGACGTCACACTTGCCACTTGATGACGTCACACGTGCCACATAAGGTCACACGTGCCACACGATGACGTCACACGTGCCACACGATGATTAATCATTACTGTTATCTCCACACTGCACAGATAACTACATGTAGTAATACAGTACTGATACCACTATCAGTTCTAATAAATGTGAAGCTCTGAGAGAACTTACTACCCGGATGTTGAATGACAGCACAGCTCGTGACGAGGGCGAGGATTGTGCATTATCCGGCCTCTTTAAGGTGGTGGAGTACGTGTGCTAATTAACTGCAGTTAGAAATAGTGACGTGTGTACGTTCTATGATATCTGTGTAACAGGGCTCCCTTATCAGGCACATCAACTTTACAGTTGACAACCTTGATTGGGTTCATGATAAGGAGGGAACTTGGACAATGATAATCTTAATGATCTAGATAACACATGCTTCTAGAGTAGTTTGTTGATTTAACTGATTTTGTTTCTTACTGAGTCGACGCTAGATAACAAACTCTATAAAATCAGATAATCTTAATAGACGTGGCTTGTATTTTCATGCAGTATTATATATTATTTTCCAGGTTTAGTCACGTTCCAATTAATCAGGGGTATGTACTGGACGCTATTTGTTAGGCGGGATATCAGAGACAGGGCAAAATTAATGATAGTTCGCCTCTAGACGGCACCATTTAGTTGAAAAATAGTTGAGCCAACAAATGTGTGCCATCTTGTACAAAAGGGCATATCACGTGACCCTTTATTGTAGCTTCGGCAACTTGGATTAATGAGTTTTAGTAGATTTAAACAATGCTCCAGTCAGCTAATTTATAAAAATCAGACGTGCGGCAAATTGGCCTATTGTACAGTGTACACTAAGGTCGACACTCGACACTCGACAAAGTTTAGAAAGGGTATGTATTTTGATACTAGAATTCAGTATTCCTTAAATTAATTAATTCTAGCTAAAAGTCTTTAACATTATACTAAGTTATTCTGAAGAATACCGAATATTTCACAACTTTATTCTAAAGTTAAGCTACAAAGGTTCCGCAAGTTTTAATAGGCTCACTTAATTGAGTCTGTACTAATTGGTGATCTAAATGCAAAAACGTAACACATACGTTATAGGCCTTGATATAAACAAAGTAATTATAACAAGTAACTAGAATAAAAAATTAAAACTCCAACTATAATCGTATTTAAGTAAAGAGTAACTATGAAAAGAGATTGCACTCACGAGGATACAGTGTAGATAACGATAGCGAGACAGATAAGAGAGATAAGACATAGGGTGAGAGTGGAGAGGAAGGTGAGACCGCGCGAGAACAGACATGTGCACCCGTTCGTATCCCAACCATGTTTCTGTAGAAAGGGGTTGGGTTAGTTGTAGATATTATGAAATATCAACACTTTTGAAAACGCGTATAGATCTGACAGCCCAGCTGTTTTCTGACAAATGTGATTAAAGACCATTTTTGTAATTCTGAATTCTTTAAAATACATTTATTTTTCGGGTCAAGAACTATCCCTGAAAACCATCAGAAACCACCAGAAACCATCAGACAACCGCTTTTGGAACAATTTTGTAAAAAAATTTGTAAAAATTGTGTCCGTTCGCTCAGAACCTCGGATTTTTTAGTGTCTTCAAGCGTTTTTGTCAGAAAACGGCAGAGCCGTACTGTTAGATAATTGCACGTTCGACTTTAGATCTGTGCCCGCTCAATGTTCCAATAAAATTCCAGCATTCCCGAAAGTGGCACAACATAACCACATACCAAGAAGTCAGCCTTGACACGTGTAGATCTAAACATGGCAGTGAGAGGGTTGATCATCAGACTGCATCCCACTTTGTCCGCCACAAACTTCGCTTCCTTCTGGAACATCCTCTGAAGTGACCAGGGCTGGGAGGCGGCTGTAACCAGTTCTTGGGAGTGCCGGGATTTGCTCCCTGTCACCTCCGCTCCTTCCTGCAATACAGGGGATTTGTTAAAGAGTTGGGTACTCTGCAAAAATTGGTGTGAGAGAGTTATGAAATTATTTCAATAAGGCGGCTGCAATTTGCAGTTTGTCATCAACGACATTTTGGAGATTGCAACAGGTCGTATTATTGACACGATTATATATTGATGGTAAATATGTTTTATAAGGGAGTATAACCATGTTAATGAAACGGTAAGTTCTTTATGATAATATGTATGTAAAGAGATACTTAATATTACGCGAAGAAGTTATATTTTGTCATAGGTTGCATGCAATCTATGGAGTTTATTTTCTAAGAAACCGCCTTTATAATTCTTCAGTGTTCATTATATTTTAAGATTCGTTTATTTGAAGTATGATATTATTCGATAGCAATTTAACGGCCACCACTCTTCGATCGCATTTTAAAATCGACCACAATCCACGCCATTGCTAAACTCCATGGTCTAAACATTTGACATCTCACAGTTTGAAAAGAAACCAAAGAATAGAGTATAACTCAACGAAGCCTTATACGAGTCCCAGACTCATTAGATACAACGTGTATACACAGTGTTATATCGTATCACAACTAATTAAAAGTTCACAATTAATTAGCCGTTCACAATTAGTGTCTGCAGAGGAAAATGAGAGGCGGCCCATTCCTGGCACGGTTCCAAAGCCTGGTAATCAGAGTAACAAGTTGTTTGTTTGGTTGGGGTCTGTTAGTTACTGGAACACTAACTTACTTATCTAGCTGATATCTAATATAGCGTGCACGTGCCAAGAGAGCCGCGCGTTTCATTAATCTCTAGCAGACAAATAGGGCTGGTCCGTGTGATGAGGAGTAGTGATTTGTAATAAGTTATCAACAATTTGCTTACCACTGACAAACTGGTATATATACTTATCGTGAACAAGTGTGGGATGAGGGGTGAATATTCCTATAAAGAGGGTAAGTGAGGGTAAGTGGGGGTAAGAGAGGGTAAGTGAGGGTAAGTGAGGGAGGTTATTTCAAAGAGGGTGAGTTAGTCTGGCGTTTACAGTAAATTATGTACTTCGCAGTTCTTTTAAATTGAAGACTGAAAGCTCTGGCGCTTTAGTTAATTTAAGTACTATGAAATATTCGACCAAATTGCTACAAAATGCGGCAGCTAAACCTCAATCACATAAAGGATAAATACGTCTACTGTCCGGTTGGTTAATGTTATATATAATTATATATATTTTAATTTATATATAATATATATATATGCTTAACCTGGTGCACCGCGTGAATAACCGTGTGGCTAGTTAAGTAAGGAACTGAAGCTGAGAAGTGAGAGGTTCTGTGTAGACCAGTATTTGGAACTGTACAATCTGAGGATGGCAGTAAACTAAGGTTTTTTTTTTACAAATATCTCAGACCCATAGCTAGATCTGTGAATTTTAGGCAGACCCACTCGACAGCGGCCAAATTTTGCGCATTATGAGCCCCAAGCCCGATACCCACTTTGCCTCCCAATTATATTATCATCTCGTAACTTCATAAAGAAGGTTCCGTTATTCATTTAAAGATTAAGTTTTTTCGATTCTGGGCACGTAGCCCGACACGACACGTAGCCGGGGCGAAGCTCCTTTGGTTGGCTAGGGAGGGGGGAAGGCGCAGCCCCCCAGAAAATTTTTGAGAAATTATGTGTTTTAGACGACATTTGGCATTAAAGAAATTTGTAGGACAGTAATAATCAGACATCACAATAATACAGAGTTGGGGGGCGCAGCCCTGGCCTTCGGAAAATTTTTGAGAAATAGGGTGTTCCAGACGACATTTGTAGGACAGCAATAATCAGACATTACAATAATACAAGGTTGGTGGGCCGGGCTGGGGGCGCAACCCCCGGAAAATTTTTGAGAAATAGGGTGATTCAGACGACATTTGGCATTAAAGAAATTTGTAGGACAGCAATAATCATACATCACAATAATATAAAGTTGGGGGCCGGGGGGCGCAGCCCCTCAGAAAATTTTTGAGAAATAATGTGTTTTAGACGACATTTGGCATTAAAGAAATTTGTAGGACAGTAATAATCAGACATCACAATAATACAAAGTTGGGAGGCTAGGGGGGCGCACCCCCCGGAAAATTTTTGAGAAATAGGGTGATTCAGACGACATTAGGCATTAAAGAAATTAGTAGGGCAGTAATAATCAGACATCACAATAATATAAAGTTGGTTGGCTAAGGAGGGGGGGGGGCAGCCAATAAGAAAATTTTTGAGAAATTATGTGTTTTAGACGACATTTGGCATTAAAAAAATTTGTAGGACAGTAATTATAATCAAACATCACAATAATACAAAGTTGGAGGGCTAGGCAGGCGCAGCCCTGGCCTTCGGAAAATTTTTGAGAAATAGAGTGTTCCAGACGACATTTGTGGGACAGCAATAATCAGACATTACAATAATACAAGGTTGGTGGGTTGGGGGGCACAGTAATAATCAGACATCACAATAATATAAAGTTGGGGGACTGGGGGGGGGCGCAGCCCCCAAGAAAATTTTTAGAAATTATTTGTTTTAGACGACATTAGGCATTAAAGAAATTTGTAGGACGGCGATAATACAAAGTTGGGGGTGCAGCCCCCGGAAAATTTTTGAGAAATAGGGTGTTTCAGACGACATTTGGCATTAGAAATTTGTAATTTCAGACATCACAATAATACAAAGTTGGGGGCTAGGGGGGAACTCAGTACTTGTCACATTGAATTGAATAAGTACATATTGTATAGTGGGATTTGGGAATAATTTACGAAATGCTAAAGTCGATTGCCTGTCGTGTCGTTTAATCAAACAGTCATAAACACAGCCCACTTACCAGGCGACCATGGGGACTAGGGGGCCTATTTTTTTTGGGGTTCAATTTTTTTCCGGGAGTCTTCCCCTTGGCTACGTGTCTGCATTCTAGTTGCCAGACCCACTCTATTACAGTGCAGACTCAACATTTTGGTTGCCAGACCCACTATTCTAGAGTCCAGACCCACAATTCTGGTTGTCATATCTCCTATATTCTAGTTCATAGACCCCCAATTCTGGTTGACAGAGTGAAGAATTACCATTCTGGTTGCCAGATTCACTCTTCTAGAGAGGAGACCCACTCTTCTAGTAGGTATAGAGTCAAGACCCACTATTCTAAAATGCAGACCCACCATTCTGGTTGCCAGACCCACTCTTCTAAGGCGAAGACCTACCATTCTGGTTGCCAGCCCCACTCTTCTAGAGTGTAGACGCACCATTCCGATTGCCAGACCCACTATTCTTGAGTGAAGACCCACCTTTCGGGTTGCCGGACCCACTATTCTAGACTCTAGACTCCAGACGCACAATTCTGGTTGCCATATATCCTATATTCTAGTTTAGACCCCCAATTCTGGTTGACACTTGACAGAGTGTAGACTTACCATTCTGGTTGCCAGACCCACTCTTCTAGAGTGAAGACCCACTATTCTAGAATTCTTACCCACCATTCTTGTTGCCAGACCCACTCTTAGCTAGAGTGAAGACCCACTATTCAAGAATTCTGACCCATCATTCTTGTTTCCAGACCCACTACCCTAAGGTGCAGACCCACCATTCTGATTGCCAGACTCACTCATCTTGATTCCCTTGATTGCAGACCCACTATTCTGGTTGCCAGACCCACTCTTATAGATTGCAGGCACACCAATCTAGTTGCCAGACCCACTCTTCTAAAGTGTAGACCCACCAGACCTATTATTCTAGAGTGAAGACCCACCATTCGGGTTGTCCAAACCCACAATTCTGGTAGCCATATCTCCTTTATTCTAGTTTATAGACCCCCAAATCTGGTTGACAGAGTGTAGACTTACCATTCTGGTTGCCAGGCCCACTCTTCTAGAGTGAAGATCCACTATTCTAGAATGCAGACCCGCAATTCTGGTTGCCAGACCCACTATTCCAGATTGTAGACCCACCTTTCTGGTTTCCAGACTCACCCTTCTAGGGCGAAAATCCACCATTCTGGTTGCCAGACCCACTCTTCTAGAGTGTAGACGTACCATTCTGATTGCCAGACCCCCTCTTCAAGGGTGCAGACCCACATTCATGTTGCAAGACCCACTTCTAGATTTCAGACCCACTAAATTCTAGCTGCCAGACTCACTTATAGATTGCAGACCCACCATTCCAGCTGCCAGACCCACTCTTCTCAAGTGCAGATCTACCACTCTGGTTGTCAGACCCACTCTTTAAGGGTGCAGACTGCAGACCCACTCTTCTCAAGTGCAGATCCACCATTCTGGCTGCAAGACCCACTTTTAGATCGCAGACCTACCATTCTAGCCGCCAGACCAACTCTTCTCAAGTGTAGACCCACCACTCGGGTTGTCAGACTAACTCTTCAAGGGTGTACGTACACCCACCATTCTGGTTGCCAGACCAACTTCTAGATTGCAGACCCACCATTCCAGCTGCCAGACCCACTCTTCTCAAGTGCAGATCTACCACTCTGGTTGTCAGACCCACTCTTTAAGGGTGCAGACTGCAGACCCACCGTTCTGTCTGCCAGACCCACTTATAGATTGCAGACCCAACATTCTAGCTGCCAGACCCACTCTTCTCAAGTGCAGACCCACCACTCTGGTTGTCAGACCCACTCTTGAAGCCTGAAGGGTGCAGACCCACCATTCTGGTTGCCAGACCAACTTCTAGATTGCAGACCCACCATTCCAGCTGCCAGACCCACACTTCTCAAGTGCAGATCTACCACTCTGGTTGTCAGACCCACTCTTTAAGCCTGAAGGGTGCAGACCCACCATTCATGTTGCCAGACCCACGTCTAGATTGCAGACCCACCATTCTAACTGCCAGACCCACTTCTAGATTGCAGACCCACCATTCTAGCTGCCAGACCCACTCTTCTCAAGTGCAGACCCACCACTCTGGTTGTCAGACCCACTCTTCAAAAATGCAAACCCACCATTCTGGTTGCAAGACCCACTTTTAGATCGCAG